AGTAAGACTGCTATCAGTCTGGAAGCTAGCCTTTGCCTTAACAGGTCAGTGGGCAAGGAGAGGTTGTCCAGTGAAGATCAATAAATAAATCTATCTATCAGCACACATATTCATACTCACATACTCATATACATTGATAGTAGTCCAGTTTATGAGGTTCAATAAAATTTTTTTAAATATATGACAACAATTTAGTATGTGAGTTTATTTCATTTTTAAATTAAATTCATTACCTCTATTTCTTCTGACACATTTATAATATAGCCCCTGTATCTAAGGCTCAGGGACCATGGTGGAAGGTGAGCCAGGAAGATTTCAAGAGGCAAAGGAACAGGAAGTTGCTGTGAGATTTTGTATCCTAGTCTCTGATTCCTTAAAACAGAGAAGTAAATTCTTAATTTTTTTGTTTGCTCAGGGTGTACCTACTGAAATAAAATGCACAGAACAATACTTTGCACTTAACATTATCACAGTAAACAGTCACCGATTAAAGGCTAGCCTCTTAGACTCCCAAGGTGTGGGAGCCCACAAAGGTTTTCTAGTGATATCTGAGTTTGCTTTACAAAGCAGGGCTGCATCAGGGGATGGCTTGACCATGTACATAGTCACCAGGTGCTTGGGGAGGTCTGCACTTGGCTGTGCTGGGGGAGGTATTTTGCTCCACCCCATTGACATTGCTTTAAAAGCCCTTTAGTAGAGATAGAAGGGGCAGGTGGGTTTTGACCCAGGCCCTCCCAATCTATCCTGTGCTTCAAATTTTCTCTCTCTATATTTCTATCTACATACTTCTCACTTATCCCTCCTCAAGAGTACCCTGGGGGAAAAAGAGGGAGCTAGTGTCCCTCAAATAGTACCTAAAACAGGGACCAAGAACTTGGCAAAAGGGGGGTAGAGGGCCCTGTGGGAAGTTAGGACATGTCCAGTTATAGAAATTACAGTGGGGATAGTCTATTTGGGGGAGTGGAAGGGGCTGGAAGATGCCCTAAGTGAGGCTGCAGCATATATTTTTCTCTATCTAGGTTTCTTTTCTTTCTCTCTCTTAGAATTATCTCTATAAAAATTAAAGAAAAAATGTAAGGTAGATTGTAAGAATATAGTGTAAGAAAAATTTGGAAAAATATAGATTAAGAATAGTGGTTAAAAAATAAGATAAGCAACAAAACAGAGAAAGTGTGTCCTTAATTTTCCAACTATGAGGCTATAAACACAAAATCCTAGGGAAGAATCAGAAAAATCTATCAAAGAGGAGAAACAGGGAGAAAAAGACTCCTGTGGAAAGCTTTTGGTCCCAAGCTGTAGTCAGAAAGTTTCTCCAGTCCCATCAGGTTCCCACAATCCCATGGCCTGCTTATAAAATAATCACTCAGAAACCTCTATTAATTATAACTACTGCTTGGCCATTAGCTAGCTCAGGCTTATTACTGACCAGCTCTTACACTTAAATTAACCCATAATTCTTATCTATGTTTAGCCACATGGCTTGGTACCTTTTCTCAGTTCTGCCTTGACATCTTGCTTCCTCTGTGTCTGGCTGGTGACTCCTGACTCCAACCTTCCTCTTCCCAGAATTCTCCATGTCTCTCCCCCATCTATACTTCCTGCCTATCTATTGGCCAATCAGCATTTTGTTTTTCAATCAATCAGAGCAACACATATTCACAGCATACAGAACAACATCCCACAGCACCAAGTGGCAGAGGGAAGAATTTTCCCTGAGGTGGATTAAGGTAAAATAAAACTTTTCACTCTGCTAATGCTATCACTGTACGGAAACACCATATCAACGAAATTACTTTCCTCTTCTCCATGTAAGAAAAAGTTTAGAGAACAGAAGTCTTAGGAAAACTTGGTGGTCTTTCTCTCTCAAAAAAATGAAAGCTTTCTTGGGAAAAACTTAATCTCTCTCTGAAAAACTAAAAAACCTTTCAGGGCTTTGCTTCTCAGAAATTTCTTTTTCTGTAAGGGCAAAATGAGATTCACCTGGAAAAGTATGGGAAACCACCTGTTGTTTGCTCTAAGGAAAAAGAAAAAGATCTCAGCTGGGCGGTGGTGGCGCACACCTTTAATCCCAGCACTCGGGAAGCAGAGGCAGGCAGATCTTTGTGAGTTCAAGGCCAGCCTGGTCTACAGAGCGAGATCCAGGAAAGGCGCAAAGCTACACAGAGAGACTTTGTCTCGAAAAACCAAAAAAAAAAAAAAAAACAAAAACAAAAACTCTTGGAATGAGACAAATCCTCCCTGCTAAGTCCTGTCTCTCTTAACTAGAGAAAAACAGTGGCCAGAGTTCCCTGAGGCAAGGGCCTGGTGAGAGAGCGCTGGCAGAGGAGCAGGGACAGGTTCCTCCCTGATGCAGGACCTGGGGAAAGCTGCTAGTGTAAAGAAAAGCAGGCCCTAAGTTCCAAGCAGTAGCTGCAATGGAAAAGCTGAGGCAGATTTGGGGGGAGAATCCCCTACCTCCAGAAGCAGTTGGCAGAGGAACAAAGCTGTGGCCAAGACATCTGAAGCTCTGCATCTGGGGAAGGAATAAGCAGGGATGAGACAAAGATCTATCAGAGAAAGAGTCTCTCTGAAAGGGCTGTGAAAAAGCTTTATCTTAAGTACTTTCGTTTTCCCTCACTGACCTGGTAACTCAGAATTACCTGCCTGAATATGCATGAGCAGGTGGGTACAATTCGGTTCTGAGGACAGTATCAGCAAAGAAAAACATCTATCAATGCCAGCTCAGGGAGAACAGAAATCTCCCAATCTCCGTGGTGAAAAGGCTAAATCTTGATGCCCATGCTAAAAGCAGAAACTTGACTTTAGCTGTGTGCCTTCCCAGAAATGGGAAATGTGCCTTGAAAGGCAACCTAGGAAATTTAGTTCAAAAGGCAGTATGGGAAATGTAGTACCTAACTGAACATCATGCAGATATAGAGAAATGCACTATGAGAAATGTGGTTTTTCAGATAAAAATGGTGGTACTGACCAAAAACTCTGGGTTTTCCAACTGAAAGTAAAGTTTCTTTTCAAAGCAATGTTAGAAAGCTTAATCTTACCTCCTGAGGACTAAGAACAGGTGAACAGCTTGCCTCTAAGGAGATTATTAAAGTTCTAACACCATTTATCAACAAGCTATTTTACAACCCTTTAGAAAACAAGGGAAAATGGTCCTTACACTGAGAAATTGTTTCCGGTGTGTAAAAAACCTACAGGATTGAGTTGTGATTAAGATTCAAGAGAGAAACATTGACATCATAAAAAAAAAGATCATGGTAAACTTAAAAAACAGCTTTAAAACATTAAGAAGTGGGAAAATTGTCTGAGAGTTTAGTGAGGAGTATGGAGCAGAGGCATGTCAGCTCCAATGACACTCCACTAGAGGAACTGGAGTGAAAAGCAGCTAAACCAACATCCCTGATATTTAGGTTCCATCTTTCAGTCTGGGGATAGGAGGAGAATAATGAGTCCTCCAGACTGCTGAGGAGTTTGACATGAAGTTTCAGTAATGTTTTTGGTACACAGGTAACCTGCTGAAAGCTGTAGGTCTGGAACTCCACTCCAAGTTAGACAATTGTCTTCTTCTGATGGGAAAATGACTGTTGTGGAATTGCCAGCTGAGAAACTCAGAAACAGAATGTTCCTTAGGAGTTTCTTTTTTCCCTCATTCTCTTGTCTTCCTTTTGGGGCTTGCTGAAAATTCAGATAGCTCTTAATAGAGTTTTTGTAAAAGATCTGGGATGCATAAAGTACTGTTTAGCATCAACATTGTTTCTACATTCTAAATGAAGTCCAAAGAAAGTTACTAACTGTCTTGTTGGAAGATAATGTAAAATCTCTTCTAGAAGTTTGATGGGCTAGTTCTGTTAAGAGATTCTTTCTAGATGTTTGTTAATATAGGTTAATATTAGTTTGGTAATTAGTTGTTTTAAGAAATTTCTTTTAAATGATAAGAGATCTCTTTTAAAAGCTTGCTAGTATAAGTTAGTTCTAGATGTCTGTATAGTTCTATAGAGTTTCCTCTTAAATATAAGCTTGGTAAATAGTTCTTCTAAGAGATATGTGCTAGTAGTTTCCTTATGAATATAAGTTTAAAAGATAGTTATATAGTTTTCTCTTGAACATAAATTCATAAGAAGTATAAATAAGTAAGGTTATAAGGAGTTGTAAGTGATATGTTCATATGAAGTGTAAATATATATAGAAAATGGCCATTCTAGTTATAAATATATATAGTAAATAGTCATGATAGTTGTAAATATGTAATATTTATATTAGAATTATATTGATGTTAATGAACCAGAGTTTAGTAGAAGCTAAGGGAATCTTTAAGATTGATGTAATTTATCTGATACAGTTTGCATCAAGAGTTTATTGATTTAAAAGGGGCTTGGCATAGCTAAGGCTGCTATAGACATCATAAGATTCATTCCAAAATAGATATGCCATCTTTATCATCCTCTACTCCTGTACATGGAGTTGTGGCAGCTATGGAGATCCCTGTGAATGGTTGTAAGCTCAATAGGAACCTGGGCCAGAGCTGAGTTAAACTCAGTTACTCCTCCTGCCAGAGGCTGATAAGGATGGGCAACTTTCTCTTGTTAGCTTTCAGCCTAAGAAAGATTATGCTTGATGGAAAGCATATCTTCATGGCAGGAAATAGAAGAAATAATCATAGAGAATGACCTAAAACAGACTGCAGTCTATATGATGGGGCTTGAGGGCCTCTGTAAAAATTAAGAGGAGGGACCTGTGGGGGCCCACACAAGTTTTCTAGAGAGATCTGAGCGTGTTTTATACAGCAGGGCTGCATCAGGGGATGGCCTGACCACGAGCATTGTCACCAGGCGTCGAGGATGGGCTGCACTTGGCTGTGCTAGAGGAGGTCTTTTGCTCCACCACTTGACATTTCTTTAAAAGTCCTTTAGTAGAGATAAGAGAGGCTGGTGGGTTTTGACCCAAGCCCTCCTGAGCTATCCTGTGTTTCTAACTGTCTCTCTCCTCTGTATTTCTATCTACAGCTCCTCACTTCTCCCTCCTCAAGAGTACCCTGGGAAAAAAGAAGGAGCTGGTCTCCCTCACCAAGGTCAAATGCAAGTCTATTACCCAAGCGTGAAGACCAGTTGACTACCTTGAAGAAGATGGTGGTTTTAAAGTAGTCTTTCCACAATACCCCCATGCATTGCAGCCCCAGCTGCAGGTCAGCAGGCAAGACTCCTGCAAGCAGGCCTAACTACCACCACCCGACATGGGACCCTGTAATGTACAAGTCACACTCTGTCCCCCAAAACCTGCCCATCCCCCAACAACACAACTGTTCCTTGAGACACAGACTCTGCTAGCTCTGTATTGGACCAAGAGGTGAGTAACTGTTTTCCCCAGCCAGTCACCCCAGCCTCTAGGCCCTAGGACCAGGGGCACAACACATGCCTCAACAATACCACCCATTGCAGCCCCAATTGCAGGCCAGTAGGCAAGACTCCTGTAAACAGATCTTCCCACCATCCCCCCTCACTGAACCCTGCAATCTACAAGTCCCACTCTGTCCCCCAAACCCACCCATCCTGATGAGTGATGTCATTTTGTATGCCATGAATATGTGTTGCTCTGATTGGTTGATAAATAAAATGCTGATTGGCCAATAGATAGGCAAGAAGTATAGGCAGAATAAGCAGACAAGCAGAATTCTGAGAAGAGAAAGGCTGGGTCAGGAGTTGCCAGCCAGACACAGATGTGAAGGCAGAACTGAGTAAAGGTATCAAGCCGTGTGGCTAAACATAAAGAAAAATTATGAGTTAATTTAAGTGTAAGAGCTAGTCAGTAATTGCTGCGGGCCGCAGGAATATATCATAAGAACTCAGCTGGTTATGGCAAAGTCACTACCTGGAGGGATCAAGGATTTCCTCCAGAGGAAGCCAAATTCCAAGGAGCTTTTGGTATTACTTGGCTTGTTATATATCAGCTGTCTTCTGTTATGAAAATCATGTGTGCCTTCATAGTTTTCCCAATTGACTTTTCCCTAAGAAGGGCTAACAGTGTGGACTGATCACTCTCTGGACATACACATTCCAGGTATTTGGAGAACAGCCTCAGGAAAGGCTTTCTCTGGAATCAGATACCTCCCTTAGCCACTTTCAAGGACTAGCAGTAATAACAGTCCACATGCAAGTCTCCTGATTTAAGGTAAATTCCACAAGGAGACACCGCCTAAGTCAGGTGGATGTTAAGTAATAGCTTTACACAATTCAGCCTGGACCTTCCTTTCTTACACAGCCTTACTAACTTTATAGACATTTAACTCCTTACCTAACCACTTCTAGGAATATTTAGATAACTTTCTGTGCTGACATCTATGCTCAGTCAGAACCCCAGTTCAAGCCTCCCTGTAATTATCATCATTGGCAGCATCTGGCCAGGTCCATCCCCAGATGGAGGAAAGTACCTTATCAGAGATACCTCCCATACTCTCTAAGCATCCAGGCTACCTGTTTGAAAAGGCCTGGCAGATGTGCCAATTAAGTCTTACTTCCTCCTTTCCCAAACCTTACCTCTAGTTCCAGATCTCCCTGTAACTATCACGAGGCATCTAGCTGTACACAGGTTGCCTAGCAACCGAGCACACTTCCCCCCACCCTGCAGAAAAATGGCAGATAGCTTGGACAGATAGGAGCCACAGGAAAAAAGAAGGCAGTTTTATTTTCTTCCATTGACATAGTAATTTATAGATTCTTAACATTTTCTACCAATCACCTTTAAGATTATAGTTGGGCACATAAGAGCCCTCTTCTTAGATATTACCTGAATTTAGCCTTTAGTTAATTCATTTCCCCATTGGTCATTTCCTTTGGGGTTGCAAATGATAATTAATGGTTATTGCCTCCCTATGTGATCCTTATCACCCTTCTGTTTGACCCTGGAAGCCTGGCTTTGCACTGCTAAGGGAATACTGCTTGTAAATGTATATATACCAGGACTTCCAGGGCATGGGGGGGGGGGATGGGAAAGAGAAAAGAGAATGGAAGAACTAGATAGGTAAGAACTTGAGAGGAACAAACTGAGATTGGGAAGAAGTAGATTGAAGGGCTAGAGGAGAGTACTAGAAAAACGAGATGGAAAAAGAGGAAGAGTCAGATGGGAAAGCCCTAGTTGGGTAAGAACAAGGTGAAAAGGACCTAGATGAGGCAGAATTAAGATGAGAGAATTGATAGAACTTAGATAAGTATAGAGAGAAATCAGGCAAGAAAGGAGCTAGGCATGAGAACAAAACTGAAGCTGTGTATAAAGGATGTTATGCCAGAGGAATTAAAGCAAGTGGACTATAGAGCTTGGTGTGCTGAGATTCTATTTCCCGAATATAGTCCTCACCTTTAGAAGTTCTCTCTCTTGAGCCCCTGGGATGTATAATATTAAGGCTGGTCCCTCTAATATTATACAAGAAGTAATAAGCCTGAGCTAATGGCCAAACATTTGTTATAATTAATATAAGCCTCTGTGTGATTATTTTATAAAAGGCTGTGAGACTGTGGGTGAAAGATTTATTCTGCCTGCAGGCCATGTGGGACATAAGAAAACTTAAAACTACACCATCCTCCCTGAGGCCCAAGCAGCACCCTGAGACACAAACACTGCCAGTGTCAATTAGACCAAGAATGGCTCCCTGAGACACAGACAACATTTGCACCTGTTGGAGGAAAAGATGGGTAGACATCAGTGCAAGAATACATTCAATGACACAAAGATCAATATGACACCACAAGAACCTGGCAGCTCTACTACAGTAAGACCAGAACATCTCAACATAGAAGAAAACGAAGTGCTGCGGGATGTTCTGTATATCAAATATGTTGCTAATTAGTCAATAAATAAAACACTGATTGGCCATTGGCTAGGCAGGAAGTATAGGCAGGACAGGAGGAGAATAAAGCTGGGAAGTGGAAGGCTGAGTCAGAGACACTGCCAGCCGCCACGATGACAAACAGCATGTGAAGATGCCGGTAAGCCACGAGCCACGTGGCAAGGTATAGATTAATGAAAATGGATTAATTTAAGCTGTAAGAACAGTTAGCAAGAAGCCTGCCATGGCCATACAGTTTGTAAGCAATATAATAAGTCTCTGTGTTTACTTGGTCGGGTCTGAGCAGCTGTGGGACTGGCAGGTGAGAGAGATTTGTCCTGACTGTGGGCCAGGCAGGAAAACTCTAGTTACAAACAAACTTAAAAATGACTTTATGAAAATGATGATAGAGGTCTTTAAAGAGGAAATGAAAAGTTCCTTTAAAGAAATCAAGGAAAAGACAAACAAAAAATTGGAAGAATTCAACAAATCCCTTAAAGAAAGTCAAGAAAAAGCAATCAATTAGGAGAAGGAAACAGTCCAATACTTAAAAATTGAAACAGAGGCAATAAAGAAGACACAAACTGAGGAAATGCTGGAAGTGGAAAATCAGAGTAAATGAACAAGAACTACAGAAGTAAGCATAACCAACATAATGCAAAAGATGGAAGAGAGAATCTCTGGTATTGAAGACACAATAGAGGAAATAGAATTGTCAGTCAAAGAAAACATTAAAGCCAACAAAATCAGAACATAAAACATCTAGTACATCTAGGACACCATGAAAAAAAAAAACAAAACTAAAAATAATAGGGATAGAAGGAGAAAAACACCAGCTCAAAGGCACATAAAATATATTCAACAAAATCATAGAAGAAAATTTTCTCAACCTAAAGAAGGAAATGCCTATGAAGATACAAGAAGCTTACAGAACACCAAATATGCTGGACCCCCCCCCCCCCCAAAAAAAAAAGTCCCCTTACCACATAGTAATCAAACCACTAAACATACAGAATTAAGAGCTGCAAAAAGAAAAAGGCCAAGTAACATATAAAGGCAGACCCATCAGAATAAGACCCACTTTCTCAATGGAGAGTGTGAAAGCCAGAAAATCCTGGACAGATGTTATAAAGACACTAAGAGACCAGATATGCCAGTCAAGACTATTATACAAAGCAAAACTCTCAATCACCACAGACAGAGTAAACAAGATATACTATGACAAAACCAGATTTAAACAATACCTATTCACAAATCTAGTTTTACAGAAAGCACTAGAAGAAAAAATCCAACCTAAGGAAGTTAGATGCACCCATGAAAATACAGGCAATAGATAATTTCACACCAACAAATCTCAAAGAAGGGAAACACACACACACACACACACACACACACACACACACACACACACACACATACACACACACTACCTCCAAAAAATAACAGGAATTAATAATCACTGGTTATTAATATCCCTTAATATCAATGGACACAATTTGCCTATAAAAAGACACATGCTAACAGAATGGATATAAAAACAGGATCTATCTTTCTGTGAATACAAGAAACACATCTCAAATTTAAAGACACATACTACCTCATCATAAAGGGTTGGGAAAAGACCAATCAAATAGACGTAAAAAGAAAGCTGGTATAGCTATCCTATTATCTAACAACATAGACTTCAAACTAAAATTAATTAAAAGAGATCAAGAAGGACATCACATATTTTTCACAGGAAAAATCCATCAAGATGAAGTCTCAGTTCTCAACATTTATGCCCCAAATACAAGGGCATCCACATGTGTAAAAAAAAAAAAAAAAAAAAAAAAAAAAAAAAAAAAAAGCTAAAGGCTAAATTGCTCATAAATCCAGTACACTAATAGTGGGAGACTTCAACACCCCACTCTCACCAATGGATCTTCCAGACAGAAACTTAAGAGAGAAATAAGGAAACTAACAGATGTTATGACTCAAAAGGACTTAATAGAAATCTATAGAACATTCTGCCCAAACACAAAAGAATATACCTTCTTCTCAGCACCTCCATGGAACCTTCTCTAAAACTGACCACATACTTGGTTACAAAGCAGATCTCAACAGATACAAAAAATATTGGAATAACCTTCTGTATCTTATTGGATCACCATGGCTTAAAGTTAGTATTCAACAATACAAATTACAGAAAGCCTACAAACTCATGGAAACTGAACAATGCTCAAATGAATCAACACTGGGTCTAGAAAGAAATAAAGAAAGAAATTAAACACTTTCTAGAATTCAATGAAAATGAATGCACAACATACCCAAACTCATGGGACACTATGAAAGCAGCACTAAGAAGAAAATTCATAGCACTAAATGCCCACATAAAGAAGCTGGATAAATCTCACACTAGCCACTTAACAGCACACCTGAAAGCTCTGGAACAAAAAGAAGCAAACTCACTCAGGAGTAATAGACACCAGGAAATAATCAAATTGAGGGCTGAAATCAATAAAATAGAAACAAAGAGAACAGTAGAAAAAAATCAATGAAACAGAGAGTTCATTCTTTGAGAAAATCAACAAGACAGACAAAGCCTTATCCAAATTAACCAAAAGGCAGAGAGAGAATATCCAAATTAACAAAATCAGAAATGAAAAGGAGACATAACAACAGATGACGAGGAAATCCAGAGAATCATCACATTATACTTCAAAAACCTGTACTCCACAAAATTGGAAAATCTAAAAGAAATGGACAATTTTCTGTATAGGTACCACATACTCAAATTAAATCAAGACTAGATAAACAATTTAAATAGACCTATAATCCCTAAGGAAATAAAAGCAGTCATTAAAAGTCTCTCAACAAAAAAGGAGCCCAGGGCCAGATGGTCTCAGCACAGAATTCTACTGGAATTTCAAAGAAGAGGTAATACAAATATTCTTCAAATTGTTCCACACAATAGATACAGAAGGAACATTGTCACACTCATTTTTATGAGCCTACAGTTACTCTGATACCCAAACCACACAAAGATACAACAAAGAAAGAGAATTACAGACTAATCTCCCTCATGAATATTGATGCAAAAATACTCAATAAGGCCGGGTGGTGGTGGCACATGCCTTTAATCCCAGCACTTGGGAGGCAGAGCCAGGCAGATCTTTTTTTTTTTTTTTTTTTTTAAAGATTTATTTATTTATTATGTATACAGAAGAGGGTGCCAGATCTCATTACAGATGGTTGTCAGCCACCATGTGGGTGCTGGGAATTGAACTCAGGACCTCTGGAAGAGCAGTCAGTGCTCTTAACCTCTGAGCCATCTTTGTGAGTTCGAGGCCAGCCTGGTCTACAGAGCGAGATCCAGGAAAGGCGCAAAGCTACACAGAGAAACTCTGTCTCGAAAATCAAAAAAAAAAAAAAAAAAAAAAAAAAAACTCAATAAAATACTGGCAAACCGAATCCAAGACCACATTAAAAAACCATCCATTATGATGAAGTAAGCTTCATCCCAGAGATACAGGGATGGTTCAACATATGAAAATCCTTCAATGTAATCCACCATATAAAGAAACTGAAAGAAAAAAATCACATGATCATCTCATTAGATTCTGAAAAAGCCTTCCACAAAATTCAACACACCTTCATGATAAAGGTCTTGGCATGATCAGAATACAAGGAACATACCTAAACATAATACAGGCATTTTACAGCAAGCCAACAGCCAATATTAAATTAAATGGAGAGAAACTCAAAGTGATTCCATTAAAATCAGAAACAAGACAAGGCTGTTCATTCTCCCCCTATCTATTCAATATAGTACTTGAAGTTCTAGCTAGACCAATAAGAAAACAAAAGGAGATCAAGTGGATAAAAATGTGAAAGGAAGAAGTCAAACTTTCACTATATGGAGATGGTGTGATAGTATACATAAGCAACCCCAAAACTCCTACAACTAATAAACACTTTCAGTAATGTGGTGGTATACAAGATTAACTCAAAAAAAAAAAATCAGTAGTGCTCCTATATGGAAATGATAAATGGGCTGAGAAAGAAATCAAAGAAACATCACCCTTTATAATAGCCACAAATATTATAAAATACTTTGTGGTAACTCTAACCAAGCAAATGGAAGACCAGACTTTAAAACTTTGAAGAAAGAAATTGAAGAAAACATCAGAATGAATAGACAGCACCAATATAATAAATAAATAAACCTTATCAAAAGCAATCTACACATTCAATGCAATCCCCATCAAAATCCCAACATAATTCTTTACAGACCTTGAAAGAACAATACTCAACTTCATATGGAAAAATGAACAAACAAAAAAAGTATACCTAAAACAATCCTATACAATAAAGCAACTTCTAAAGGCATCACCGCCCCTGATTTCAAGCTCTCCTATAGAGCTATAGTAATAAAAATAGCTTAGTATTGACATAAAAACTGACATGTGGAACAATGAAATCACATTGAATACCCTGACATTAATCAACACTTATGAACACTTGATTCTTAACAAAGAAGTCAAAAGTGTACAATGTAAAAAAGAAAGCATCTTCAACAAATGGTGCTGGCATAACTGGATGTCTACATGTAGAAGACTGCAAATAGATCCATATCTATTGCCATGCACAAAATTCAAGTCCAAATGCATCAAAGACCTCAACATAAATCCAGTTACACTGAACCTGATAGAAGAAGTAGGAAATAACCTTGAATGCATTGGCATAAGATACTACTTCCTAAATATGATACCAGTAGCACTGAGGGCAACAGTTAATAAATGGGACCTCCTGAAACTGAAAAGGTTCTATAAGGCAAAGAACACAGTAAATAAGACAAAATGACAGCCTATAGAACTGGAAAGGTAAGAACCTCTTACCTTTCTTTATCAACCCCACATCTGACAGAGGACTGATCTCCAAAATACATAAAGAACTCAAGAAGTTAGACATCAAAATACCAAACAACCCAATTAAAAAAATTGGGCTATATATCTGAATAGAGGATTCTCAACAGAAGAATCTCAAATGGCAGAAAGACATTTAAGGAATTGCTCAACTTCATTAGTCATCAGGGAAATGCAAATCAAAATGAATCTGAGATACTATCTTACACTGGTTAGAATGGCTAAGCTCAAAAACACTGATGACAGCTTATGTTGGAGAGATGTGGAGCAAGGGGAGCACTCCTCAACTGCTAGTGTGAGTATAAATTTGTACAGCCACT